TCATGATAAAATTATTGGTTTTTAGTAAAACATGAATTCTGTGTAGTTTGAAAATGAATAGGAGTTGTTTTATATTCTAAGCATACTGAACACATGTTGGTTGTTTTGACTAGTCATTTTCAGCAAACAAATGCTCAAAATGCCAATGCTTTTATCTGACATTTGGGAGAAATGTTGTCGGTAGTTTTGTGAAATGAAACAGAAATGTTCCTTTTATTTAACAGAAAGCTTTTAACCTTGTGTCTTATTATTACTCTGATTGGGAACCCAAGTAGTCGCCATATCAAAGGCTTTGTTTTTTGTCTGTATGGGTGGATATCTACTAGGGATGGGAATTTGAAAGCAAATGTATATTCGAATATTCAACCCCCAAAAAAACGGTTAACCGAAATGTACTTTTTTTTTTTTATTAAAAAAATAAAATAAATACATGTTCAAATAAGTATAGAAACAAAGTCGAATTTGTCAAATGTATTGAACTGGTGATCACAGTTTGAACAGTTGACAGCTATAGGCCTACAGCTTTCATGCTTAAAACATAACTTGGTTTTTAAATTAAAGAGGGATCATACACGAACAACATAACGGGTTAGGGTAACGTAACCCTATCACAACAGAGATCAACAACCTATAACAGGGCCTATGCACAGAATGCAGCTATTCAATACTCATTCTTGTTTAAGAATATGAGCATGTCTACTCAGGGGAGAGGCGGGTGCGGAGGCGATTCACAATCAGGCCATCTGTAGAGAAGACCCTCTGAGCTGGAATGTGGGCATAAGATGAGGTTTGAGTCTGCTTGATCTGCGTGTAGGGAGGGGCAGCAGCCATATCATTAGCTAGAACTAGCTAGATCTGATGGATTTGGACATAAACGTGAGTGAAGTATAACCGGATGCGAGAGAGAGAGATCAGCACCTGCAGCTCTGCCCGCTGTGAGGGACCGGTGAGCGGAGCAAAACACACCTTTAGACCTAACACATTTAGCTATGGCACTGTCGTACAGTCGTATACATTGAATTATAAAAAAAAATACAATAAAGATATTCATTTCTCATATTCGAATAGCTGAATAATTTCGAATATTCGATTAATCGTTCCCATCCCCAATATCTACACATCGCAAGTGTAAACAGGAAGCTGGTAGTAAACAAAGTCTAACTCTTGGACATTGCGACACTTTTTGTTTTGGGGAAGATCTGAATTGCTCTGTGGACGATCAGTGAAGTAATTATTAAGGCTGACATTTATTACTTTATTCTCTATTTTAACAATTCGTGTGGCTGATTACAATCTCCCATTCGCATTACAGCTTTGTAAAATGGCCTTATTTCAAGAAAGACGCCATCCATATTTGTGTAAATATTGCGATATTTTAATGTTATTATAAATTCCACCGTTTCATTTTTTATGTGTGCATCAAAAACCCCAAGAAAACATTCCTTGTATGTGTTAACTTACTTGGCAATAAACCTGTTTCTGATTCTGAAAGGGTTATAACTATTTACCTTTCAAACATTTGAAGCAAATTATAGAAACAACTAGGTCTGTGCAATTAATCGTATTTTAATCGCAATTACGATTTTGGCCTGCCGCAATTACGATTTTGGCCTGCCACAATTACGAAAACAACATAATCGAAAAAAACGATTATTTTGCTTTGCTAGGTTGTGACAGTGCACTGCAACATATTTGATCAAATGTATTTGTATTAATCATATTTATATATGTTTAGTAGCTTGTTGAAGTGCGCTCCAAAATATTTGTTGATCTTGTTTATTGGTATTTATTATTATTTGATATTATTTATTTAAAAAATGTAAATGTATAATTTATTTAATTTATTTTTGTATTGGTTTTTCAGTTGAATTATACGCTCAGGGAAATCAACAGTTAAAAAGATACTGTTCAAATTATTATTTGTATTTGTTTAAAAGTTCAATAAATGGATGTTTTCAGTCATAATAATAATCGTATTTAATAATCGTGATATCAATTATTGACCAAAATAATCGTGATTATGATTTTTGCCATAATCGCACAGCCCTAGAAACAACCCAAAAGCTATATGGAGTGTAAGACTAAATAAATACAGCTACCATTACTCTTTGTTAAAGTATTGGAACGTTTAGATCAGAGGACACCTTGTTGAACTGATCCAACTGAAATTAAAGAACCTCATATACATTTGCTCTGTACATTTGACATCTTATTCTGTCTTAATTCATACAAAACTATATCCTAAAGAGGAGAAATTCATATTTTACACACAGTTATGAAGGTGCTTTTGTATTATTGTACGTATTCAGATACTTTCTTTGCATGTAAACAAACAGAAACATTATTTTTGACGCTATATTTGATTAAAACTGAAACTGACAGCTAATTATCAGTGTTATGATGCCTCTCAGTACCAAAACAAGCACTCTTTTTTTTTTATCTACGATCGATCGTGCACAAAGAGCTTCTCTGTTGAATTATTTTGTGCAGGATAGAAGAGTAAGTTATTAGCTTGTTAGCTTTAGCCGTCTGCAGGTGTAAAGGTTGGTGGAAACGGGCTTTACTCTCGCATCACACTCTTTATTTTAGGCTACATAACAAAATGTATGTTAAGAGAACGCGAGGCTTCAGTATTATTTAAAGTCTTTTCAGCACAAAATTCCCTCTTTCTTAAATAAAAAAAGAGGAAATTTCACACTAATATGACTTTTGATTTACCAAAAATCTGCTTCATATAGACTTAAAAATGCGTTCTTGTCACCTGTAATGTTAGTAGGAGATTTTCTTTAACGTCCAGCCAGAATAACCTGTTTTTTTTTTTAACACAACTTGTTGCTGTTTGCAGACAGTATTCACATTTCAGCATGGCATTTGTCTCTTTCAGAAAATACATATATATGACTGTATCGTCCGTTTG